AACATTATTAGAGTTTAAATCCCGTACCCATAGTCATTTAGACATTTCTCGAGTGCTCAAAATTCAAACAAATTCCAATCTAATTTTTTTCAGGATATTTATAGTTGCGGTTACAGGTATAATAAATTTCGATATTACACTTATCATCATTTTCAACATTTGCAAAAAGTATTGACTTTAAAAAAAGACGAATTAATTGTAATTATAAAGATTACTGTTAGAATGTGTTAAGAAACAAACACATACTAAAGAACTGACAGCTACTGAGAGTATTCATATTAATTTGTCTGACTTGAGTTATTGCATTATTGAGTAGGCCCTTCTCAAATGAAGATAAATGTAATATGATCAAAATTTATTATAGCTGTAATTGCAACTCTCACAGAGCATGTGAAATGTTTTTGGATGAATATCCTAAAAAGAACAGCCTATTAGAACATTATTTAAAAAAATTGATCGGAATTTGACTGAATTTGGAGCATTCGAGAAACCTAGAAATAAATATGGAAACAGACACAAGAAAATGGAAAAATTACCAGGAATTAGTCATGTAAAGGTATGGAGGATCCTTAAACACAATCTTTACAAACCCTTTAAAATACACATTTCTCATTGCCTAAGACCAGGAGACACAGAATGGCGTTTCGCATATTGCAATTGGTTGTGTCAGCAATTACAGAATCACCCAAATTTTTTACATGAAGTTATATGAACAGATGAAAGAGACCGCATTATAGGATCTTTAATCTAGGAGGGCAATTTAAACGGTGATAGATGTCTCAATTTTCTGACTACTGGGTTTGAGGCATACATACTGTACCTATATTCCATTAAATGTATTACCACACATATGGTTCCAACAAGATGGTGCACCTCCACACCACACTAGAAATGTCAGGGCTTTTCTAAATCAAGAGTTTCCTGGACAATGGGTAGGAAATGGTGGGGTAATCGAATGGCCAGCATGGTCACCCAATTTACCCCCCCTTGATTTTTTTTTTGTGGAGAATTTATAAAGAAGTTTCCAACAACATAGAAGAATTGAGAGCAAATATCTTGAAGGGATTTAACTCCCTGAGAAGAAGAGATATTCAAAGAGCAGTACAAAATATTGCGATACGGATAAATTATTGTGTAGAAGAAAACGGAAATGTTTGAACATTTACTGTACTTTTTTAAAGTAATTCAGTGTTTGTTGTTCCTTTGTTCCTGTTGTGTTTCTATTTTTAAGAATTAATTTCTAATAATAAAATTAAAATTGTAATGTTTTAATTTTGACATAATTTATGGAGTTAATAGTTTAAATAACTAGGTGGACTTCACAAGGTCTAATGATACTTACAACTAGAGTGAACGATAATTCAATAAACGGAAATTTAAATTAAAAATTTAGATAAATTTGGAACGAATACATTGAGGATTAATTTTTTGAGACAAAACGTCTGAATCTGATTCAAGCTGAGGCGGTGCATTATTAGGGGCCAAAAAGACTTACAAAAAATGTAATAAAATTTCCAGGTCCTTATTTTAAAAAAATTAAGTTGATGATGATCGTGAAGACGAAATGTTACATATAAAAATTGATTATGCCATTCGACAGGCGGCAAAAAGTGGCCATGAGAAAGTGTTATTCTTTTTTCGATATCGCCTCAAACAAGGCTGAAATGAAACAAAAACGCATTTCTAAAATTTCAGTTTTTTTCAAATATTTCGAAAACTAATCGTGTTAGCCTTGTTTTCTTAGAAGCATAATGTTAATGTTGGTCTCCTGATTACACAACTTTGCCCCCATTTAAGCTACTTCGTATCTCTTACCGTTTATGAAATCTCTGTAGTGAGAAGTGAATTTGTAACAGCCTGTATAGGGGGTGTAATTACTAACTTATCAAACATATCAATAAATTCTGCCATAAATTTAAGGAAGGTAGTTCAAATAAAGATTTTTAGATTTTTAGGACACACAGAGTGTTGAAGTAGAAAAAATTAAAACCTAGATAGCTGCAGCAGAACATTGAAATTTATTTTTCTCCAAAACATCTATGCCTTTTATGCTGAAAAATTGAAAATTTTAATTATACCAGTTTCTGCTTATTTAGGCAGCGGTATATTTATTTTTTATAAGAATTAAGTTTGTGGATATTTTTGTATGTACACCCTACATCTCAGAAACGAAAATTTTATTGTTGAATGTATTAGAGATGTCTAGACAATTAGTTACTGAACATTCTGTATACAGGGTGTTTCAAAAATTTGGGAGGAATCTCTAGCCGGAAATATGAAATAAAGTTTTTACAGCAGTAGGAGGTGTTTGACCTCCTATCACTTGGGTAGCTACAAACACACAACTACATACAGAAGTCTACCCGAGCCTGTGTACAGGAAGTTGTTTTCTTAGTGTCAGTGTACAGTTGTCTGCTTATCATGCTTTATGTACTGTAGCTAAGTTCTGCCTTCATGGTGGGTAATTACACATTTGGAGAACCTGCTTATATGCTGTGTTACGGTGTAGCTCGTCAATTGTACACAAGAAGGTACAAAACACTTCCTAGCAACCCATTATTCACCAATGTCAATCGTCGACACAGGGAGAGAGGAACCGTGTCAACTGATACACATAAGGTGCAAAGAGAAGGACATGAACCCCTGAATTTGATAAAGACTACATAGCTACCAGTTAGGATTTCTGATTTCTCGGCCTACTTTTTTCTCGGGACTCGAGAATTTTCAACTAGAAATTCCCGGGAATTCTCGAATTCTCGAGAAATTTCTAAAACTAAAAAAAGTCATAATTTTGGTATTGCAATGCGAAATATAAACATGCTATTATACTTAACAATCATCATTAACATTTATTATTTATTCAGTATTTTTTTAATTACTTATATGTTTCTATTTCTACTAACAAAACTAAACTAAATTTTGAGTCTTCTTCTTAAAAACCTTTCTAACTTGTTTTTTTTTTTTATTAAACACTCATTATACTTATGTTTATTTCAATGTTTTTGAATCGTAGCTTTCTTCCAATAATTATTAATAATCATTAATCATGCAGTCTTTTAATTAAACAAATAGTAAATAAGGNTACTGAAAAACTCGGGGCTTGGATGCCGCATATGTTCAGCAACAACAAAATCTCCATACCAAAGCTGCTCAAAATATCATCCGTTATCACACAACACGTGGCCAAGACCAACGATTTCTGTACCAAATTGTCACCAAAAATGAGAAATGATGACTTTATGTCAGTGAAGCAAAGGAAGAGATAGAGACATCAGGTAGAACTCCATTCCAAGAAGACCATGATCTGTATTTAGTGGGGCTAGGAAGGTGTCGTGTACTGGGATATGCTGGAGAAAAACTAGGTTGTTAATAAGGAACGCTATCTCGCTAAGCTTCACTGTGTGAATGAAGCAATCCAGCACAAAAGAGCCGATCAACATAGTCAAATGATCCTTCTTTACAACAACGCACATCTTCACACAGAAAACATCGTTAAGGAGGTTTTGGATGAACTCAAATGGGAGGTTCTACCACATCCGCTGTACTCTCCAGAGCTTGCGCCAACAGATTATCACCTTTTCCGCTCCTTGTCACCATTGATGAAGACCACAAAAACTTGCTCACCAACTTCTTCAACACACGACTAGATGATTTTGTACGAAACAGCATCAACAAATCGGTTGAAAGGTGGATGCAGGACGTAAACAGCGACGGATTGATTAATTTGTTGTTTTAGTTATTGTTATTTTCAATGAAATATAAAAAAATGGAACTTTATGGAACCAATAAATTAGAAAAAAGAGCTAGTTGTTACGTTTTTTGATAAACTTTTTACAAATTAAATTAAGTATTTATTAAAATACTGAAACTTTAAATTTTTTAATTTTTAAACATGAACAATTAAATAATAATATAATAATATAATGATAACAACTTCTGAAGGAAAAGTCCACCGAAAAGCTCTTTACCAAAACTTCTCATAAATTGTATAAAAACTACGAATTTCATAGATAGTATTATAGCTCCAACATGGGACACTGTATTTACAGGATGTGCAATTTAAGGAAGAAATTTATTTTAGTTCCGGAAACTGGAGTTGTTAGGTCCGTCGAATAGCTTCAAATTGCATTTAGAATTGTTTGTTCAAATTTTTCTGTATAGATGGTGTAGTGATACTAAATAATTTTTTATGTATGTAAACGTGGTCAATAAACTAACCAACTAACTATTGCTTGTGAATAAAGCCATTATAACAATATTTTAAAAGAATATTTTGTCTCAGTCTGATTTAAATAAAATAATAGATTTTCCTGTTACATCATACACTGCATATTGAAGTCGACATGTCTCAAAAACAAGTAAATATTGGGAAAAACTTTATATTACAAAAATTACTGAAAATTTAACGATCTTTCAGATGGACCGCATACATTTTTTTTAGTATCGCCACGCCATCTATACAGAAAGATTTGAACTGACAATTCTAACTGCAATTTGAAGCTATTTGAGGGACCTAACTCCAGTTTCTGGAACTAAAATAAATGTCTTCATTTCGGAGATAATGGCAGCAGGAGTGTTAACAGCACACCCTGTATAAAATCATAAAAAATTGGAACGTAAAAATAAAAATATCCCAAAGCTTTGCCCCCTAGAAAGAGCAAACAAAAATGCCTGTGTACTGAATTTGTTTCACTTTACTGACAATTGTGTAAAAATAAACTGAATATTTTTAAATGATTTTAACTGGAAGAGAACAAAATTGTATTACATAATTCCAAAACAAAGCCATTTTGTTTTTCAGTAGCATTTTAGGTGAAATAAACTAGTAAGTGAATAGTGAAAAGCAGTATCGCAGTATATAAATAAAACAAGATTAAAACAATTTATGAGTAAATTAATTTTATTACAAAAAGTTTTTTTAATTTTGTATAAAAAATGAAATATATATTGATTAAACATGTTATTACATTATGAAAAATGAATCAAATATATTAATTGAGTTCAGTATGGTATACACTACAAAATAAATTTAAAAATTAGTCTTAATTCAAAAAAAAAATCAGTGACATTTTTTGGCATCACGATATTTTCTTTATCCATCACACATAAACTAAACCACATTTATATACAGTAGTGAGTAAATGCATATTTATATTTTTTTTACAGAAAACACTACATTTACTAAAGATAAAAGTTGTTATATAAATATTTTACTTCATTTTATTTTCATCCAACTATTATCACAGACATCAAAACTTTGTAGATAATTTGCAAGATTATAAACCATTTATACAGAACCAAATGTTTTCAGCCACATATTTTACATAACTACTCCAAAATAAATAAGCGAATTAATATTTTGTGTATATAAATGTGGTACAGAACTTTTACCTTGCAACATCCTTTCGGTAAATCTATTGATTAGGTATATCAGTCGATAATCATGTCAGTTAAAGCTGTTTTTAATGTTTTAATTGCACTTTTAGTCTCATCCTGATATATCAACCAATATGTTTCATAATTTAAATCACTGCTAGTCGAATTTTTTAAATATTGACATTTGAACACCCGCCTGTAAGTCTCTACTGACTTTTTTGCCATTCACTACTAATATCACTGGTGTTTCCACCCTGATGAGCCTAAATTTGTATTCCTGAAACGAGCAACATAAAAATTACCTAAAAGTTGTGCTCTCCAATATATATCAGATAATTAAAATTTATTTTGACTGTGATGATAACATTTCATTTAAAATTGTACTTAGAACAAGAAGTTGCTGCAAACAAATAGTCCTGATTTACTCTGTAAGACTGTAAGTATTTAGTAAGGTGAACTTAAAGTTAAAAAAAGGAATGACTCAAAAATCACAAACAAGATGGAATATACATTTTTTCTTTGAAATACAATTATGAATCGAACGAAATGAATGAATTATCAAAAAAATTCAGTGGTATAGAAATTTTGAGGTTTTCAATGAAAGTGCCTTTGCTATCTCTACTGGTTGAGATATTTGATACCAATTCAGAGAATTTTTACCTTTAGGTAAGTTACTAATCTTTTCATCAATCTACGTATAACATTTTCAGACATATGTAAAATAATTGTGATATATTTGATAACCAGACAATTATTTAAAGTTCTTTTAGGCCTAATTATGATCCAAGAAACGCGTCCCTGAAGTTATAACATGGACTTAAATACGCCCTGTATATCATATACAGGTTGTTACAAATTCGCCTCTCACTACAGGGATATCGGAAACTGTAAGAGGTACGAAGCAGCTTAAATGGGTGCAAAGTTGCGTAATCAGGGGACCAACATTATGCCTCTAAGAAATCAAGACTAACATGATTAGTTTTCGAAATATTTGAAAAAAAACTGAAATTTTGGAAATCCGTTTTTGTTTCATTTCAGCCTTGTTTGAGGTGATATCAAAAAAAGAAGAACACTTTTTCATGGACACTTTTGCTCTCTATCGAGTGGCATAATCAATTTTTATATGTAACGTTTCGTCTCTTCAGGACCATCATCAACTTCATTTTTTTAAATAGGGACCTGGAAATTTTATTATATTTTTTGCAAGCCTTTATGACCCCCAAAATTGTGCCTCCTCAGCCCGAACCAGATTCAGGCGTTTTGTCTTGAAAAATTCATCCTCAATGTATTCGTTCCAAATTTATCTAATTTTTTTTAGATTTCTGTTTCTTGAATTCTACACTCTAAGTGTCATTAGACCCTGTGATATCCACCTCTAGTTATTTAAACTACTACCATCATAGGTTACAATAAAACATTATTAGAGTTTTAACCTGTACCTACCCATAGTTATTTGGAGGTTTCTCAAGTGCTCAAAATTCAAACAAATTCCGATCAAATTTTTTTCAGGATGTTTATAGTTACGGTTCCAGGTATAATAAATTTCGATAATATTACACTTATCTTCATTTTCAACATTTGCGAAAACGTATAGACTTTAAAAAAAGACGAATTAATTGTAATTATAAAGATTGCCATGAATAATGTGTTAAGAAACAAACACATACTAAAGAACTGACAGTTACTGAGAGTATTTATATTAATCTGTCTAATTTGAGTTATTGCATTATTGAGTATGCCCTTCTCAAATGAAGATAAACGTAATATGATAAAAATTTATTATACCTGTAATTGCAACTCTCACAGAGCATGTGAAATGCTTTTGGATGAATATCCTAAAAAGAACAACCTCATAGAACATTATTTCAAAAAATTCATCGGAATTTGACTGAATTTGGAACATTCGAGAACCCTAGAAATAAATATGGAAACCGGATACAAGAAATTGAAACACAAGGTATTTTAGATTTTAGAGGTTTGTTAAATTTTTTTAAACTGTATGTATTCATAATAACATATTTTTTTAATTATGCTAGATTAATAATGACCCACATAAATCAACGCAAGAAATAGCTTTGAATATTAATTTACCAGGAATTAGTCATGTAAAAGTATGGAGGATCCTTAAACAAAATCTTTACAAATCCTTTAAAATACACATTTCTCATTGCCTAAGAAAAGGAGACACAGAACGGCATTTGGCATATTGCAATTGGTTGTGTCAGCAATTACAGAATCACCCAAATTTTTTAGACTGCACTATAGGACCCTTAATCTATGAGGGCAATTTAAACGGTTATAGATATCTCAATTTTCTGACTACTGAGTTCGAGGCATACATACTGTACATATATTCCATTAAATATATTACCACACGTATAGTTCCAACAAGATGGTGCACCTCCACACAATACTAGAAACGTCAGGACTTTTCAAATCAAGAGTTTCCCGGACAATGGATAGGAAATGGTGGGGTAATCGAATGGCCAGCACAGTCACCTGGTTTATCCCCCCTTGACTTTTTTTTGCGGAACGTTGAAAAATAAAATTTATAAAGAAGTTTCCAACAACATAGAAGAATTGAGGGCAAATATCTTGAAGGGATTTAACTCCCTGAGAAGAAGAGATATTCAAAGGGCAGTACAAAATATTGCGATACGGATAAATTATTGTGTAGAAGAAAACGGAAATGTTTTTGAAGATTCACTGTAACATTTTAAAGTACTCATTTAGTTAATGTTGTTTCTATGTATTTTTAAGAATTAATTTCTAATAATAAAATTAAAATTGTAATAATGTTTTAATTTTGACACAACTTATGGAGTTATGTATGACCAGGTAATAGTTTAATAATTACTAGGTGCATTTCACAAGGTCTAATGATACTTACAACTAGAGTGAATGATAATTCAATAAACAGAAATTTAAATTAAAAATTTAGATAAATTTGGAACGAATACATTGAGGATGAATTTTTCGAGACAAAATGTCTGAATTTGATTCGAGCCGAGGCGGTGCAGTATTAGGGGTCAAAAAGGCTTGCAAAAAATGTAGTAAAATTTCCAGGTCCCTATTTAAAAAAATGAAGTTGATGATGGTCCTGGAAAGACGAAACGTTACATATAAAAATTGATTATGCCATTCGATAGAGGGCAGAAAGTGGCCATGAGAAAGTGTTAGTCTTTTTTTGATATCACCTCAAACAAGGCTGAAATGCAACAAAAATATAAATATTTTATTTTGCCACTAACAAAAAAAAAATATGTAAAACTTGGTACAAACCTAATTAAAAGGAAGCTGAATCCTAACTGTAAGATTTTAAATTAAAAAATGTCTAATAAGTTTAATCAAAATTTGATAGAAAAAAGTAGGTTTCGATGATTAAATATTAGTTCAAATGTACTGTTAACGTGATTTTTCAATAATTAAAAAAAAAAAGGAAAAATAAACTATAGCTTTGGATGATATACTTACATTTCCTTTGTAAGAAAAATCAATGATGGTTAAATAAGGTTCCGGTATAGCGACGGAATCTCCTATTATAACTCCTTTCCCATCGGCTAAATTAAAAACTGTCACAACCACACAAGTCCCAGCCTTATCGACCAAACAGAATGTACTAAAATGATTATATAATTATTCCATATGCATAAAAACCAGGAATAATTTTTAATTTCTCCAGTTTATACTCACAATGGTACTGTATCCTCATTCCTAACTGAACAAACCACTTTCCCTAAAATCACTCGTTCTTCATTAATGCCGGGTTTTAAATCTGACAATTTTGTTTCAATAAGCTTTACCGCTTCACCGTTGGAAGACGTATAACTTCCTCCACTGTAAGGACCCAACTGTTTTGAATCTATTGACTAAAACAGAAATCGGAAATGTACGTACTAGATGATCTATACTTTAAAACATTAGAGCAAAATTTCGGGTATCTGAGTCGCAGTTATCGAAGGTCAGGATTATCGGAGGTATACTTAATAGTGTATTATTATCCGTGTTATCCAATAAAAAACACCCACATTACCACGCACCATATACTTTTTTTATAATTTACCTGAAGTGTCTGTTGCAATCGTTTAGCTTTCATTTTTCCACTTGTAGACACCAATTCTTGTATGTCATTCAAATACTTCACGAGTTGCTTCTCCTTAATCGTAGGTGGTTCCCAAGTGGGGTCGAAAAGGGAAGCTTCGTTAAACGATTCTAAAGCTAGTTTATATTCTTCTTCGTATTTTAACGTCTAAAAAGAAAACTTGTTTTAATAGTACACGACAGTCAGAAGATTACTTACTATGCCCTTATTGTAGTGTAGATCTGGAGTACTTTTAGCTACTAAATCTTTTTCCTGAAAAGAATATTGTATGGAAATACACTCAGTAGAATTGTTTCCAAAAACTTACCGCTTGTGAATAAGCACTTAAACATTGTTTTAGAATTTTTGGATTTTGCTGTATTCCAAAAAATGATGATAAATGGGCATTGCCTAATACTGCCCAAGATAAGCCATCATGTGGATCCAGCTGAACGGCTTCTTTTGCATAACTTAATCCTTTTTCTATATTCTTTACCCTTTCTTCCCTATTTTTTGATGCTGCTTGTCTTGATAACATAGACAGACTTCTTAAAGAATATTTGTTCTTTTTCTATCAACAAAACTGTATAATATTGTGGAAGGAGAAAAATTTCATACTAACCTCCTTTAGGGCTCCTTCAAAACAATTAATGGATTTTCCTAATTCATCATTTTTCCAATAACATTCTCCCAATTCGTTCCATGCATCGACTAACTTTGGGTCTAACTTGATTGATTTTGATAGTAAATTTTCTGCTTCTTTGTTGTATTTAGGTACAACATTGAGTAGCTTTCCTTTCAAAAAGTTATATTTTGCACGACTTACATCCTTAATTAGTGGTTCATGATCATTAAATAGTTTTAAAGTAGTTTGCAGTAACATTTGGATTTCCTCATTTTTCCTTATTGCATCTTCAATCTTGTGATTTTCAAAATATCTATCTCTAAATAAATAAACAGCATCTACCTTATCCTACAATTGTTCATAGTTTTATGGAAAAATAACCATACTGTTTAAGTTTAATAGTAAAGTGAACCTGCACCTGGTATATATTTCTAATTTTTCTACTTACATTAAGAAATTGTAGTAAATCTTCATGCTTTTCTTCACATTTACATGCAAAAATATCTTCATTCTCACAGTCCATATTTATGTTATTTTATTTTATTTTACTTTTATTTCTAAATCGTTTTTACATACTACACTTTGTTTTTCTTTTTTGAGGTTACATTTATTTGTCAAAATTCATCGCTCTGTGAGTTAATCGAATAGCGTATTCAACGCATGGTTATTTACAAAATTCGATTTATTTAAAGTATGTGGTTATAAAATATAATTAAACAACAAGGAAAATGAGATATGCATAAAGAAAAAACATTTCATAACAAAGAAATAGGTAGTTTGGTAGTTCAGCTTGGCCGTAGCTTTATAGAGTTTCGGTTTAAAATAAAAGCAGTATATAAGTACATGTGATAAAGTATTGAATTCCTTGAGAAATTTCTAATAAATTCCAACATATAAACAAAAACATAGTTTTAACAATAATTTATTCGATCAAAAGAATTCTTGGGCTCTTTATCGATGTTATTATTACTAGCTTAAAACTCTCCCAGAGATGGCGGCAAAGTATTGCGGATTTTGTGACAGAAGAAATATATAAACGAAAACGAACAGAAAGAGAGAGGCAGTCGCTCTCTGAGGACGTAGGCGCATCGCGTAAGGGGCTGTAGGCTGCACTGCATTGTTGTATTTTGTCTTTTACCTGTGCTTTTGAGCAAGTGTGCACTTTGTGTTAAGTGTAGTGTGGAATTGTTATGTTTTATTGTTGCAAGTGCAGTTCTTCTTTCGGCCCCGAAAATTTACTATGCTAAGTTAAAATCCCCAGTGTTGGTGCAACAAAGTGTATCGTTCTGTCATGGAGTTGGTGTTGTGACTTTATTTAATTATTGGAACCACAAGAGGATCTTAGGAATTGGGATATACGTATTGAATCCTAGGCGACAATGTCAGGCAGGCATATACCAGCAGATAAGGTATTTAATTCTTATACAAGCAACCGCACCCTTCTCCTATGTTATGGTTGCAAGAAAGGCGACCTAGTTTTTACCCCACGAAACGTCTTTGTATACGCGATATTTCATCAACAATCCTTTTACAATGATCAAATCGGGTAACTTTCTTTTAGATTTTACATTAAATTATAACTGCAGTTTTAACTGTAAAGTAATTTCCGATAAGGCTGCAATAAATTTATATAAACAATTAATAGGTATGTAAACACAGGCCTTTTAAGAATTGATAACTGGTAAAAATATCTGAAAACTTACTCACCTGGAAAGGGAATAAACATTTTTTTATTGGTGTTGCACCCGAGTATCTATCAGTTGATCAGTTGAAAAAATATTTTGCAAATATATGTTGCAACCCTTTATGAGACCTCAGGGTCGACCATCCTTATTATAAATGTTTATTTCGCAAATCTCGCAAAATGTTTCATCCCCTAAAAAACGGAATGAGATCAAAATATGACCACTTTCATTTTCGCGAGTTTTACTGAATACCTATATTATTATAAAATGGGAGGGAAATATTTTTATTTGACTTTAGTTATATACCTAGATACATTTTTGTTTTAAATAATGTCTTTTTATCACCTAAGTACCTTTGTTGTATGTTTGTAAAAATGTTTATGCAGTCCAGGTAAAAAATTGAAATTTCTTATAGATATTTTGTATTTCTCATATATCTATGTATTTATTTCCAAAATTTGCAGCATTATCAATCTACTTTCAATTAAATTGTACATTTTTCTGTAAACTTGTAAACTAGGTACGTTTACAAGGGGAGATTATTCCACAATTTTTACAAACTTAAGTTGTAAAATTTTGAAAATATTGTTCTCGTTATCATTTTTTATTGCTTTTGATTAATATCATTGGGATTGCCAGACGGGTAGCTATTTATTGAGTTAAAACATAGGCACCGCCAGATAATTTTTTAAATGGAGGAGAGGGCAGAAAATACCTATGTGCTTAATAGGTAGGTAAGTCTATCAACGTTGATATCAGAGGATTAATTTATAACATGTTATCTGGTTTAAAAATGCTTTAAAATTTACTTTACGAATTGTTTTACAATTAAATGTTATCTGTGTTTGTCTCTTACACTTCATAACAAAGAGTGTGTGTGTTCAACGTTTTTTTTATATTTTAACGTCAATTCAAAGTTGATATCAGTCTTATGTTTTAAGGAAATAGTGAATACCGACGAAAGTGAATACTTACGGCCGTACTTAACGATTTTTTTTATATTAAAAAACGTGAGCAAAATATAAAACGGTAAACTAAATCCAAGACTAAAACTTCCTTCATACCTATACAAACACTGAAAAAAAGGACTCTAAAGAGAAACTCTTCTATCTTCATAATACTTAAATAGTTTTGACAAATGTGTATAGGGAATACACACCTTTTGATCGACATATTTAGTTTGTATGGTTTAGGGTATAACCGAGGGTACAACTGATAAATCGTAATAAATTATAAAAATTTAGCTTTTTTACGTTAAAAAAATCTGAATACCTAATTGAATTCGATGTAAAAATACAATGTCCCGAGGTGGAAAGCACAGGAGTAATTTAATGAACAATTGTGAGTAATGTTTGGGTAATACCGAGCACTATTTGAGTAATACTTCGGTAATATCTAATATCTAAGTAGTAAAACAATTTTATATCATGCGTTCTATATTATTTCTGAGTAATATTTGAGTAATTAAATATGAGTTATGAATGATACAGATTTTGGCAAGCGGTTTCCCCACCACATATTTATTTTGGAAGAATTCAAAAGGATAATTGCGAGGATGATTATTTTTTTATGAATTTTAGAACTGACGCTCTTTTGTATTTTTTTTGTCGATAGCCTTAAAATGTTTTTGAAAATTTGCTCCTGAAATCATCCCGTAGGTACACAACCACAGCTCTTTTTCTAAATTACCACACGACATAATCACGCGGTCAGGACTAAGTAGATAACGAATCTATTTTTATTTTAACTAATTTAACACGACAATTTATTACATGCAAGTGTATTTGTATATTTTCTTTCGTAAAATGTAAGTTATTAGTACTTACCTAATTATTTAATTAAAAAAAGTTATTTACTGTATAGAAGTGTTCAAACGAATTAAACGTTTTTCGTGTTTTGGTTATTAGGTATTACCTATCTGAGATTTTACGACTAAGTGCCGAATTAGAAATATAGAAAAGTGTACCATTCGAAAAGATAGCAAATCTTGTGTTTTATACGAATTTTCATAAATTTGTAAAAACAATATCTATATTGTTATAACCACTACAATTATTGATGAGTAGTTATAACAATGAAATGTTGTATTGCTTTAAGTAATTGCTTTTGTTTTGACAGTGGTCTTGAGTTTTAGCCTCGGTTTTAGCAGTTTAAGGGACAATGATTAATATCCCAGGGCTCACTTGATTACTCATTAATTAGTATTTATCCGAGTGTTTATCTTTATCTAACAGTTGCAGAGAACATTCGTCACAGCAATGTATTTATGAAAACCTTGTATCAAAATTAATAAAAATTACAGGTTACGATATTAAAAAAAAAAAGGATACTGATGTCAGAGTCTCTTCAAGGATGATAAAAAAAATCTTCTCAGAAGTAACATTTTATAAATAGATCCTAATAATTACGGGTAAGTAAATATGCGCATTTCAGTTCAGATGAAGACGTTTCTGAACATTTTCGATCACTACCTACTAGATAAGACATAGTCATAGAAAACTCAAGTTTCAGGCTTCATTTTTTTTTTGAGAAGTAATTACATCTTCGAATTTAAATTCAACCAACCGGAGTAATTTGTTGTACAAGCTTGAATAACATTTAAGTAACGCATAACACCATTTCAGTAATATTTCAGTATTATTTAAGTATTAAAGCAATTGTTTATGTCACCATCCCCCCGCTCTCTACTTCTTTTGTTATTTTTTAGTAATACTTGAGTAATTGTGAAAATGAGTATTTTAGAGTACAAGTTTTGGCCAGCGATTTACTTCTCGTTATGTGGGAACCTACCCCATGAGAGAAAAAAAAAAGATTAAGTACTACTATACGATTAATACATTCAAACTCTACCTACTAGTTTTTAAAATTGTATACCTACTCTTGACGTAATATTTATTCCAAGCTTGTTTCCAAGTTTTATTTATTCTCTAAGCGATATTTACAACTTTTCATTCTTTATATCTACGGATGCTCCAAGGTTGTCCATCTTTAATTAAAACATTTAATCCCGAATTTAATCTATAGCATTTTTTTCTTTAAAGTATAACACTGTACATTCTTTAAATATTATAACCATAGCATTGAATACAAAAGTATATCCTATGGTTCTCCGAATTTTATTATTTTCTTATTTTTGTTATTAGTCTGAGATAGATCTACTACGGTATGAAGTGTTTTTGTAAAAAAGGTCAATAAACACCTATCAAGTTTATTTACTAAGTTACGAGCTATTTTATCTATGAGTTTTAAAAAGTTTCGCATAGATTTACAAATAATAAATAAGTTGTGCAATTTTTTTATTTTCCGCCAGTTTTATTTATATCTTTGATAAACATCTTATTATTAAACAAATATATAAATATTTAAGTTAAAAAAAAAACATATTTGTAACTCGGAATTTGTAACATAAAATGATAAGTAATCACTAAAGTTGCCACGAAACTGATATATTCATTTTTTTTCTAAATTATAATTAAACATTATTTTCTTTAAAGTCACGAGGTGAAAAAGCTGTAGATGTAAGAATTTCATGATCGTTTTGTGAAAAAAGGTTTCAATAAGATTTAGAGAGAATAGATAAGATAGATAGATAGAGAGAGAATAGAGAATAGAATAGATAGATTAGAATAGAATTTAGATAGATTAGAGAGAATAGATTTAGAGAGAAAAGATTTTTTAGAGAATAGATAGAGAGAATAGATAGAATAGAGAATAGATTTCAATAGGTAGGTATTAAAAAAAAATCGTTTCTGGTAATCATTTAATACTGTACAATTTAAATGTAGTTAAACTTGAAAATCATCTAAGTACATCACCATAATCATTACCGAACATTTTTCACTTGATATTTAAATTTCTTTAATAAACTTCCGTTTCAATGTCAACACTTTAACTGCAGCAGTTTATTTACAATATCGTTTCCTTATTACAGCTCTACCAAATTTATCTTGTTCACGAGAAATCTTTAATATTTTCCGAGATATTTTCCCTAGAGATATTATGATAGGAGCAATAATTAAATATACAGTTAACTATAAGTATATTTCGACATTGTAAGATAACAAAGAAGCATAATTTATCCGTGAGCTAATAAATACACTTAAAGAGGACTTTTCATTCGGTATTTATGTGGTTTTAAAGCGGGATTCTTATCTTATGTAGGTATGTCGGTCATGCAACGAAAGTTAGCGGTGAACGATTTTGATTTGACATGACCAATTTTAGCTCCAACTTTCTACTTTATGAAACTGCCGAGACGATATTTTAAGCTCTAATAGAACATCCAGAAAAATATACTGGTAGTGGTGTGAAGGGACCTAGTTTTTGATAGGTGTGCATTTGGTTTTCTTGAGTGTAACTAATATAATTTCTCTAAACTATTTAGAACTGGCCTGATTGTCCATTTAAATACTCAGCAGCATTTTGAACTAAAACTCCGAGAAACTATTATTATTATCTACTCGCTAAGTACTTGTATCGGAAAATTGTTGTACTTGGTGATCTAAAATTAGCCGGACATTTTACCAGGACATGCTGCAACAAGCATAATAGAGAAGCTATACAGGGTGATTCAGAACTTATCTAAAAAAAAATTCTGGATGTACANTCAACAATAACATTAGGTATCTGCTTATAATAAAATTTCTACACAGACTTATAACAAGGTACATTAAAAAAATAAGAATCGTCAAAGTAAACTAAAGCCTTAAAAACTTAAAATAAATAAATCATGAGCTACTCCAGAAACCACTTTAACCGCTCAGTTATTTGTCGAGAAACCAATTGAACGCATGAACGAAGCGAACTCCAATCAAGAACTTAAGACACACGTGACTTTTAAATTTCTCGATTTCTCAACACTTTTTTCTCTCGCTTCGAGAAGTCTCGACTAGAAACCCTACTGCCAATCCAAGAACAAGGATAAATGCAAGTGCCCACGCAATGCACACAGATCACATCAGGCTGTAGTGTTTTGCACAGTGAGCACTTACCTTACATCCATACCATGGTCAACCAGTTCAAAGTATAGGACAGCCTGATTTTGAACTAACCTACAAGCTACAGTATTATGGTATTTCATCTAGCCTACCAAATACGTAGAATGTGTATGGTACTGTAGAGACTTTATTTCACATTTCCAGCTATCGGTTCCTTATTGCAAATTATTCCAAATTTCATCCTCTACAATCCCCCAAATACGTATTATTTGTTTTTTTAATTGTCTGCTTTTTTCATTTTTATTACAGGTGGCAAAGTACTCAAATAAACAAAAAAATTAAAACTGTACCACAAATAAATAACTTCAGACAATAATGTATTACTTGTGCGTTTAATAAATGAATTTAATTCAAATTTAATAATGATTACTCCATTTGAGTCCAAATGATTTAAAGGGGAAATTTTTTTGTTTGAATAAGAAATTTAGTAACACATAGGTTCCACAGATAACTTTTAAAAGGTAGAAATGATAAAAATAATTTATTTTGCCACTAATAAAAAAAATATGTAAAACTTGGTGCAAACCTCATTAAAAGAAAGTTAATCTTACTGCGATTTTAAATTAAAAAATTTCTAATAAGTTTAATCAAAATTTGATAGAAAAAAGTTAGTTCAAATGTACGAGTAGTGTTAAAATAATTTTTCAATAATTAAAAAAAAAACGAAAAATAAACTACAGCTATGGATGATATACTTACATTTCCTTTATAAGAAAAATCAATGTTGGTTAAATAAGGTTCCGGTATAGCGACGGAATCTCCTATTATAACTCCTTTCCCATCGGCTAAATTAAAAACTGTCACAACCACACAAGTCCCAGCCTTATCGACCAAACAGAATGTACTAAAATGATTATATAATTATTCCATATGCATAAAAACCAGGAATAATTTTTAATTTCTCCAGTTTATACTCACAATGGTACTGTATCCTCATTCCTAACTGAACAAACCACTTTCCCTAAAATCACTCGTTCTTCATTAATGCCGGGTTTTAAATCTGACAATTTTGTTTCAATAAGCTTTACCGCTTCACCGTTGGAAGACGTATAACTTCCTCCACTGTAAGGACCCAACTGTTTTGAATCTATTGACTAAAACAGAAATCGGAAATGTATGTACTAGATGATCTATATTTTAAAACATTAGAGCAAAATTTCGGGTATCTGAGTCGCAGTTGTCGAAGGTCAGGATTATCGGAGGTATACTTAATAGTGTATTATTATCCGTGTTATCCAATAAAAAACACCCACATTACCACGCACCATATACTTTTTTTATAATTTACCTGAAGTGTCTGTTGCAATCGTTTAGGTTTCATTTTTCCACTTGTAGACACCAATTCTTGTATGTCATTCAAATACTTCACGAGTTGCTTCTCCTTAATCGTAGGTGGTTCCCAAGTGGGGTCGAAAAGGGAAGCTTCGTTAAACGATTCTAAAGCTAGTTTATATTCTTCTTCGTATTTTAACGTCTAAAAAGAAAACTTGTTTTAATAGTACACGACAGTCAGAAGATAACTTACTATGCCCTTATTGTAGTGTAGGTCTGGAGTACTTTTAGCTACTAAATCTTTTTCCTGAAAAGAATATTGTATGGAAATACACTTAGTAGAATTGTTTCCAAAAACTTACCGCTTGTGAATAAGCACTTAAACATTGTTTTAGAATTTTCGGATTTTGCTGTATTCCAAAAAATGATGATAAATGGGCATTGCCTAATACTGCCCAAGATAAGCCATCATGTGGATCCAGCTGAACGGCTTCTTTTGCATAACTTAATCCTTTTTCTATATTCTTTACCCTTTCTTCCCTATTTTTTGATGCTGCTTGTCTTGATAACATAGACAGACTTCTTAAAGAATATTTGTTCTTTTTCTATCAACAAAACTGTATAATATTGTGGAAGGAGAAAAATTTCATACTAACCTCCTTTAGGGCTCCTTCAAAACAATTAATGGATTTTCCTAATTCATCATTTTTCCAATAACATTCTCCCAATTCGTTCCATGCATCGACTAACTTTGGGTCTAACTTGATTGATTTTGATAGTAAATTTTCTGCTTCTTTGTTGTATTTAGGTACAACATTGAGTAGCTTTCCTTTCAAAAAGTTATATTTTGCACGACTTACATCCTTAATTAGTGGTTCATGATCATTAAATAGTTTTAAAGTAGTTTGCAGTAACATTTGGATTTCCTCATTTTTCCTTATTGCATCTTCAATCTTGTGATTTTCAAAATATCTATCTCTAAATAAATAAACAGCATCTACCTTATCCTACAATTGTTCATAGTTTTATGGAAAAATAACCATACTGTTTAAGTTTAATTGTAAAGTGAACCTGCACCTGGTATATATTTCTAATTTTTCTACTTACATTAAGAAATTGTAGTAAATCTTCATGCTTTTCTTCACATTTACATGCAAAAATATCTTCATTC